GGAGCCTTTATTGTAATAAGAAACAGACACAATGCCCCTTTCTTCACAGGCCCTTTAACAATAGCTGATTTTTTTTTTTTTTAATCTTTACCCCTTCTCCCCCTGAAATTAATCCAGTCTGGGCAATAGATGCAGTCTGACCCTTTGGATGTGACTTACATTTTTTTATTAATTACTTTTTTCTACAATCACCCCAATTATCCTTGGGGGAGGCGTTGGAGGACCTGAAATTTTTACCCGAACCCAGGTTCTCCGGCGCTTGGCAACCAAATGGGGCTACAGAGAAGCATCTAAGCCAGTTCACAGAGCGAGCGTGTGTGGGGACTTCTCACTGCCACGGACCCTTGATGCATGCTCCCCGCGCTCCAGTGGTCCCGTGTCAGAAGGCGGAGTTTTCGAAAGGAGGCCGCCAAAAATAAAAGGCAAAGAGACGGGATCGGCTGCAGCGGTTTCCCAAAGGAGGAGGGAGTGTGCATCGGTCTGGTAACAAACAGAGAATGTTTTTTAACTACTTATAGCACAAAAATCTGTGTTTTATCTAGGATATTTTCTGAATATTCTTTGTAAAATGCAGATTTTTTTTCCACAAAACATTAGGATTCTTTGTTATATTCTTAAGTTTGTTTTTGTTTAAGTAGGTTAAAAAGAAGGTACATTTAGCTGAAAGCATTACACTAACATTTACATACTTGAAGCATTAGGAGGTTATTCAACTCAATTCCCAGCAGTGGACAGAACATTAAACTCGTGTCTCAAGGTTTCATGGTTTTTCCCACACTCTGGCTATTTAATGTCCCAGGTTACATAGACAATCTTTGATCAATTGAAGCAAGTATTGAGTTAAAATAACCTTGAGTTGAGCAAAAATATCTTCATTTGGCAGAGCTGGGCTTGGTAGTATAGTGAAATTTTAGTGTAATGTGCTCTTGTAATTGAAGGGGGAAAGCTAATTTGGATATTTCTGCAAAGGAAACTAGATGTATACGTAGGCTCTGGTTGGTTTTTTAAAATGTAAGAGCAAAAGATTTTAAAATATTTTCATTAAGTCTCCTTAAAATGTAGTAATAAAGTATATGGAGTTCTTTTTGTTTGTTTTTTTGTTTGTTTTGTTTTTTCATTGTGCTCTGTGACTGGTTTAAAGGTAAGTTTGTTATATCTCTTGTAGATTTTGATAGGCTTCTCCCAACAGAGTAGAAGTGATTTGGCCTTTTAACTTGGTGGTGGTACCACTTCATTGCAGTTTTGAAAAAGATAGAGCTGGAATTTGGTGTGACTTCTGTCAGTATATTGGTCAAAATACAGACAGAAGTGGCAGGAGTTTGGCTGGTTGAATGGGATTCCCTTAGGATTTCACAGCTGATAAAGATGCCACTTCCTGTGCATGTCCCAAGAATCATTAAACCTCTTTTACTCTGTTGGGATGAGTCTTTTTTTTGTTCCTGTTCAGAGTGGTTACTAACTTAATCTTCTCTCCTCTTGCTGTCATCTGCATTGTGCTTTCCACCTGTTGTTGGCATTTCCTTTACCTTCTCTTTCCCTGCCACGTCAACCTACACTGACTCATCGTTGGCCTTGAAGATGTGGAAGATGTCAAGTTTGTGATCAACTATGACTATCCAAACAGCTCAGAGGATTACGTGCACCGCATTGGCCGAACGGCCCGCAGCACCAACAAGGGCACTGCCTACACCTTCTTCACCCCAGGAAACCTCAAGCAAGCCAGGGAGTTGATCAAAGTGCTGGAAGAAGCCAATCAGGCCATCAACCCCAAGCTGATGCAACTGGTGGACCACAGAGGCGGCGGCGGAGGAGGGGGTAAGTCCTGGAGTTTTCCAGGGACTGCCAAGGTATCTTTTTGTATTTGTTGTGCTTTGTTTTTAATTCTGTGAAGGCTTTAATTACATAATGGTGCTCAGTAACAAAGGACAGTGCTTAGTTTTTACGATCTCTTCTGAATAAGACAGTGTGAGGGTCCTACTTTGCAGTCTTTTATTTCTGTAGATAATATAAAATTGACCTTTGTATTTTTTAAGTACCTGGTGTATGTTCAGAATTAAGCTGAATTATGGCTACTTTAATACCTAATTTTATACTATTGTATAGGAGTAGAGCAGGCAAAGTTATTGAATCTTTAATGGAACATATTCAGATGGTAAACAAAGAATATTCAACTATCCATTTAGAAACTGTATTTACTTGAGGAATACTGAGAAGCTAAAGCTTATAAATTTAGGAACAATGTTGAATTGTTCAAAGTTATTGAATCTAAAAATTAGATGCAAAATATACCAGAATCTACACCTGACTATATCATTTTGGCATCTTCCTCCAAACTTACTGCATGCATATTTAAGCTCTACATGGGGATTACTTGAGAGGTTTATGTATACAGGTTTTGGGGCTTTAGAATTGAGCTAGGAAACTGAGCATCCTTCTTAAAGCTTGTGAGGTGCTTCAGATGCAGTTAGGACCACAAAGCAATGCTTGAGAACCTCTGTGCGTTAGTATGGGATCCCTTCTTTTATGGTTGTACGAGCTTAGCTCTGTCTTTGCCATTGTTCCTAAGTTTATAAGATTTAGCTTCTCAGTAATCCTCAAGTAAATACAGTTTCTAAATGGATAGGTAGTTGAATATTCTTTATGTTTACCAATTGAATATGTTCCATTAAAGATTCAAATTATGGGTATGTTTTTTAAGCACTGAATTGGAGGCTGGGCTAGTTAAATATCAAGAATGTTGAATACTTTTGTACTTAGAACATTTTCGTGTGGTTATGTTTCCATCGTAAGTCTGGCATTAAAAATTAATTGTATCCTTCATCAGGAGGTCGTTCTCGGTACCGGACCGCTTCTTCAGCCAATAATCCCAACCTGATGTATCAGGACGAGTGTGACCGGAGGCTTCGGGGAGTGAAGGATGGTGGCCGGAGAGACTCTGCAAGCTATCGGGATCGTAGTGAAGCCGATAGAGCTGGTTATGCTAACGGCAGTGGCTATGGAAGCCCAAATTCTGCCTTTGGAGCACAAGCAGGCCAATACACCTATGCTCAAGGCACCTACGGTGCAGCTGCTTATGGCACCAGTGGCTATACAGCCCAGGAATACGGCGCTGGCACCTACGGGGCTAGCGGCGCCGCCTCGGCTGGGAGAAGTTCGCAGAGCTCTGGCCAGCAGTTTAGTGGGCTAGGCCGGTCTGGGCAGCAGCCGCAGCCACTGATGTCACAGCAGTTCGCACAGCCTCCTGGAGCTACCAGTATGATAGGTTACATGGGGCAGACTGCCTACCAGTACCCTCCTCCTCCTCCTCCCCCCCCTCCTTCACGTAAATGAAACCACTCAAGTGGTAATGACTCGTGCAGACTTAACTACATTTAAAGGAACGCTGTCTTTCCTCTTTTTTTTTTTCTGTTCCCCTTCTCTTTTTTATTCCCCCACCCCCAACCATTGTGGTTTGTCTCTTATGCAGATTAGTTAGAATTCACTGCCAGGTTTCTTCTGCCCGCCAAATTGATCCAGTCTAATAGTTTTTGTAAAAAACATATATATAGCCGACTGGAAGAGATTTCCCCCCTCCCCAACTTCTTGCATGTTGAGGATATTTGAGCTATTTTTCATCTTAAAAGAAAAGGCAAGGTATTAGGCCCTTTTGTGGGAGTCCTTTTTGTTGTCTTGAGTTGGTGGGTGGGGAGGCTAAAGGGTTGAATTCCGCAGAAGAAGATGGCACCTGTGCTTTAAATTGTTCTTATTACTGAGTTAGAAAACCGAGAGAGAGTGCCCTGTGTATTTTCCATATGGTTTTTCATGTTTTCCGAGCTGGAACAGGCTTCGTTGGGCCTGATGCGTTTCTAAGACAGTGCTTTGCCACTGTCCTTTTGGCTGATTGCTTTTTAAGTGCATTCACAGTTTTGAAAAATTCCTAATTGGTTTTGTCTCCCTTACATTCTGGCCTCCCCCTTCCCAGTGAATAAAAAATAATCATTTTAGTGTCAGGTTAGAAATTGAATTGCCAAGTCTGAGTATTTTAAGTGTATCTTTTAAATTAAAAAACCCAAGTGTTTATTGCAATAGTTAAAAGTAGCATCTCAGCATCTGGGAAGCTGCCTATTTTTCTTCCCCATATAAAACAGGGACCATCTGTGAAATGCATTTTCAACCAGACAGCTGCTATTAGCAGAGTGAACATAAATGCTCACTGGAAACTTACTTTATTAACAGTTAAGTGCATTCACCTGCACTGTAAAAACCACCTTTAATTATAAACAATACACTCAATGGGATTTTTTTTTTAACTATAGAGCTAGAATAAAAGCAACACTTTGCCAGCTACGCAGCCCTTTGGCCAAGTGATCTTGAATAAAGAATCTTCAGGGTTTAGTAAGAGAGAACTCCTACTCTCTTCATACCCTGTTGTCTGCAGTGCTCGTAACAGCTTTGGGTGCACACTTCCTTGGCACCCTTTCGCACTCAGCTTTTCACAGGTAGGTAGCGCTTAAGAGAAGTTACAGAGGACTGTAACCCAAGTCCTTGTCCTTTCCCTCCGTCTGAAGGTAGGTGAGCTTGTCCCCTTCACAGTAACGGTGACTGTTTTGCTGAGACTACCTGTAATAGGCCTGGAATGGATTTTCTGTGCTTGTGTTCCCCATAACAGCACAGGGAGATCAGACAGAGTCAGAAACCTGGCTCATCTAGGGTAAGACTTCATATTTAATGTTGTCATCAGTATTGCTTATTCACAATGTAGTTAAAGGGGGAAGGGTCCGCTGCATTTTTGGCTGAGGCCTGAGCGCGTGCTCATTTGTAAGATCCAAATATCTTGATACTCGGGTTTTTGTTTTTTTGTTTTTGTTTTTTAATTAAGGGAGAGAGAGGGGCTCATTTCTGAGGGGTTCTGAAAGTATGGTTGAAAATCAACATACAGGTAGGTTGTGAGCATAAGTTGAAATATATGCATGTGAGAACGTTGCCACCTTTGCCCACTCCTACACCTCTCCCCCCACTCCTTTCTTAACTTCTTTTTTTCCCCCTTATAGAAGTTGAGGCCGAGAGAAGGTAGTAGGCACAGGAAAAACAAGGCTAAACTGCTCTGTGCTTTTAAACCAAAGTGTTCTTGGCCCCCCCCCCCCCCAAAGAAAACGTTTCTGTTTGTGTAAGCACTGACCAGTCCATCATAGACATTGCTACATGAGAATTCTGATTTTTCTTTTCAAAACAGGTGCCACCAGAGGGGCTGTCACACTCACTTGCAGGTCTGAGAAGCATCCCTTTTTATGAAAGGTCTCTGGGCAAGCAAGCAATAATTTGTCTGCTGCTTGCTGCCCTTTTTTCCAACAGGGATATTGTAATCATATAGTCAAGTTAGCATGTTCCAGATCCCAAAAGCTGTGTGGCCGGAGCACAGCTGGAGCCTCGCAGAGTTGCTCCTGTGATCTAGAGTAGCCTGCCTCCATGCCTGTCACTCATAACTCAGCTTCAGAGCACAGGCATCGGGACTTCATCTGATGCTAGGTATTGCGGTCATGGTTAAAACTCGCTTCGGGAAAGGATTTCAACAGTAAGCTACGGGGCTGCTTCTCCCCAATTCCTCCTCAGCAGTTCATGTGTGGAGTTCTGTCATCTCAAAGGTTGGTGGCTTTTGCTTGGGATCAGTGCTCTCTATTCATGTCCTTGCTGGTCTCTGAACACATTCCTGTTGCGTTAAGACTTGAAAGATTGTAGATGTGAGATGTCCAGGCACAGGATGCTAAGAGCTATGTTACTATTCTTAGTTTGTAAATTGTCCTTTTGATACCATCTTGTTTTCTTTTGTAGGTATAAATAAACACTGTTGACAATAAAGTGTGAGCTTTTTATTACTTAAAAACTCTGACTATAGTCCAATGGTAGTCCTCTTACATTTTTTTATTACTTCAAGACTGGGGTTGGGGGTGTTGGAAGTTGCCTTAGTTATTAGCACCTAAAAATGTGAAAGGCAGGTGGGATTGATTGGTGTTAATGCAAATTCCAGTCACAAAGCAAAAACAAGACCTAGTAGGTAAAGGCCTGGCTGTGTTTGCTCAGTGAAATGGGTCATGCTGCTGACAGTACTGACCTAGGAATGCAACTTGGGTTAAAGTACTGAGTGTGGAACTACTGTGAGCCACGGGAAGATTTGAGTTGCTAGAGCTTGTAAATTTGGTTTGTTTGCTTTGTACTCGGACATCTTTCCAGACGGATTGCCTTCCCTAGCATGTCTCATGGGCCTTAGACACTAGTTTATTTGACCCATTCGTGAGTTGGCCAACTAAGGTTTGATATTCCTGTTGACATTGTATGGCACCATTTTTATGTACGTGGCCCAGGTTTTTCAATACCTCTGTAAAGGAGGTATTGATGAGGTCGTCTAGACAGAATATCAGTGTGTTACTGAAATCCAGGCACACTGAGCAATTTGCTGGCTTTAATTTTAACATTTGGTCTGAGTCATGTATTCAGTTGCTCAGTAGGACATCTCAAGTAGTTGGCTTCATATCCTTGTTTGAGGCCCCTCAAATTGGCATTGGAAGACTTAACTTCTTTCCTTTAAGGACTAGAAGGAAATAAGAGAGGTGGAATATTAATTTTTTTTTTTTTAGGGAAAAAAAAAAACCTGATGAGAGAACTCCTTTATAACTGCATAATCTTAGTATCTCTAATACCCAGTTCACAGGTGTTCAGATAGAAAAGCCAAGAGGGAACTTTCTGATCTTCCCACCACCCCTTCCTTAGGCCATAAATGTAACACCTGGTTTCCTTTAGTCCATACCTCACACCAGTCAGCAGCAGTCCTTCATTCTCCCAAGAGAACTGTCCAATCTCTCCATTGGTGACTTCCCAACCATTGCAATTGCCCTAAACTGCTTAAATCAGTGGTCACCAACCGGTAGTCCAGAAAGGTTGGCGGCTGCTGGTTTAAATGACTCAAACAGCAGTCCTTTGTAACCAGAATGCCCTGCAAACCCCCTGCCCTGGCCTAGAGGGCCCATGTGACTGACACGACCTCTGACCTCTCCAGGTTTATAGATCTTGACACCCCCTGCCCCACCCCAAGCCTTATCTGTCCATCATAATACGCAGACTCTTGCCTTGGGGCTTATGTATATAAGTTATTTTCTAAACTTACCTTATAGTGGCCTTCCCTACACAGGGTTAGCACTGTACATACCAATAGCATACCTTATTTGTACTGTTTTTTTTTTCATGGCACCATTTCCTGAAAATACTTGGGGGTGTCTTCCCATTAGAATAAGCACCATGAGGGGCAGAGACTTGCCTCTGCTCACACTTCCACATCCCCCAGATGCCAGCAACACGGCTCTGGCCCAGCACCCACCTTTGGTCACATACAAGTAGAAGAAGTCGCAGTAGAAGATGGTTTGCACCACTCCCGACACCACTGCAATCTGGTCATAGAAGTTCTCGGTCTGGTACCGCCTGATCCAGTTCGCCAGGTAGAGTGCCCGGTACAGGCCCAGGAAGAACAGGTAGTGGGTGGTAATGGTCTCGGCCTCTCCAGTCTTGCTGATCATGAAGAGCTGGGGCAGGATGGCCACCGATTCCAGGTAGATGGAGAAGGTCCAGAGGATCTGAGCCCGGGGCCAAGGGGAGAAGTGGCCAGAGGTTGGTCAAGACCAAGAAGAGGCCCGTCACTAAAAGAATTACTCAAATGCGATTACTGGGGAGGATGCAGCGAAGCAAATCGGGTTCTTATGATTTTTAATGCCTTCCTATCACTCAACCTCTAAAGAAGCTTCCCCCCTCACAACAGCATGAACATGTCTATAGCTCAATTTTCAATTGCAGATTTTATTGTATAAACCCGCCTTCACTGAGGCCGTGGTTTCTCATCATATAGTCTGAGCACCAGCGTCAGGATCTGAGCTGCTTGTCGCCCAGGTGGTTGGGCTACAGCTCAGACCACAGAGTTCAAACTTTGGCCCGGACTGTGCTCTGGTGCCCACTAACCACCTGCTGGACAGACAGTCTCAAGAGCTTTGGAGGTGCCGGGAGGGAGGCTCTGTGCCTGAGGCACAGGAATGTGCCCACTTCCAAATGGCGCAGGGACAGCCTGCTGCTCATTTCTAAACCTCCCGCTGATGACAAGCCCAGACGGAGTCCCGAGGGCAGGAGGTTAGGGCGGTGCTTGCCGTTGAGGACTGTCCGAGGCCCCTTCTTACCTCCAGGGGAGTAAAGCTGTAGTTCTCCAGGAAAGAGAGCCCAATGACTGGGACCAGAAGAAACTCCAGGCGGAACGTGTCATTCTCACTGTCAAACGTTTTCCGAAATTTCCCGTAGATCATGTACACGGTGACATAGGCGCAGAGGAGGAAAACCAGCTGCGAAGGGAGGGAGACACACGGGCATCGGTGACGTCATTTCCCAGCCACTTTGCTAGGCTTCAAACCACCCTGAGCTGGACCCACCAAGCTCATGGCTAGTGCTCTGCCTTAAGGGGCAGGAGGTGAAATGTACCTGCAATTTCTCTTAGGTCCAGTAGCCCAGAACCTGAAGCTAGCGACCCTGGTTAAGCAACTCCATGCTTCTAATTGGGACTGATGGTCTTCGGTGAGGACTCCCAGGTGCCCAGGCCAAAGGGCCAGGCCTGGTCTTGGCGGGGGGATTCTTCGGCAGCATCACAGGCGCTTGTAGACCAGAGCTTTGTGGGAGCGCATCAGTGACGTGAGCATTCTTCCCCGAGGACTAACCCCCTTGATTCGGCTGATCATTGCCCGATCAGAAAAGTCCTCTCTAACCGAGTCTGCCCAAGGGTAGTCTCATGGTGCGGGGGCCCCCGTCGGCCCCCACGGCCCCCCACGCCCTCACCTTCATGACTGTGTTGTAGATGGAGATAAAGTTGGTGAACAGGTCCAGGTACCTGGTGGTGAAGACCAGAGCGAAGAGGATCTGGCTCTTCCCAGAGATGCCTGTGGTCAGAGGGGGATGGAGACCGTGAGGACACGGGCTTCCGGCCCAGGTGCACCCGAGAAGCCCGAGCCTGAGCTGCAGAGGCCCTCGGGGGCCCCGTCTCCTTTAACAAAGACGCTGGTGCGGGCACCGTTCTCTCCGAGAGCGGGACACGCCCTTCTCACGGGTCCCTGGGGCCTCTGTTCCCGTTCACTAGCTGCAGTCCGCCTCCCAGTCCCCAGAGACAGCACCGAGCCCCCAGGGCCCGCGTGCGGCCTTGGTTCTGTCCGGCGATGGGAGGGGTATTGGGGGGTGAGGGGTCCGGAGGATTCTCTGTGCTCCACCCCAAACCCTCCGGACAATCCCCAAGCGCTGTCTTTTGAAGAACAACGTGACGCGGTTGACTCGCCAGAGAGACCGGAGCAGGTGGAGGAAGGCACGGGGCCAGGGAACGTTCTATTTGTTTTTCCAAACGGAGAAATGTGAAAAAGCCTGCTTCTCTCCCCTCGTAAGCGTCAGGACTATTCTGACTCTTTGTGAAACAGAGATCAGAACGAACGTAAAGCTGTAAACTCAAAGCAGCCGTCAGCTGAGTGTGTGTGTGTGTGTGTGTGTGTCCCGAGCCTCGGTCCGAGTCCTTCTGAGTCGGCCTCGGCTCACGCGGGGCGCGCACATTCCCGCAGGATGCATCGCGAGGACACTCTGGGGGGGTCCCCTCTCTATGCCACTTCCTCATTTGCTTCGGCCTCTTGGCCTTTCAGCTTTTATTTTAGGAAGAATCTTAGATTCCCAGACTGCTGCAAAGACCAGGCCAAGCGTCCCCACACACCCGCCCCCCGCCCTTCGGGTTTGCCTGACCGGAACGGAGCGTGCACATCGGCGCGGCCCCCACTGACAGACTCCGGCTCTATTTGCATCTCAGCACCGACACCCCCCTCTGTTCCAGGAGCCGGTCCAGGAGCCGGAGCTGGCGAGCTTCCTGGACTCCTTTGGGCCACTTGTGATACGTCCTGGAGATGGTTCCAGAACGAGGGGAGCAGAGGCCCTGCCCCCTCTTCCCTAGTGCTCTCCAGCCCACACCAGTCTGGAGCCCACTGCACCACACCCGTCTGTGGGCCCACCTTCCGCATCCAGAGGGCCAGGCTGTCCACTGAGCCACGTCCACCCTGGACCTCTGTCCGCCCCACGGGCATCTCACCGGCTCTGGCTGCTCCTGTCCTCCAGCCTTATCCCCGCCACCCAAGCCTCTCCGCTCCGTCCCTTTCCCATCCCCGCCCCCCGGCAGGGACACTCGGACTTCGGACTCTCCTCCGAGTTCTGGCCTCTGTGTTCCTGCCTGACCAAGCTCACCCCAAGAGCCCCCTCCTTTTCCTGTCTCCCCTTCATAACTGCCACCACACCGCCTCCATGCTCAGGCCAGAAAGCTAAGAGCCATCCCTGAGTCTCTCTCCCCTTTGTCCCCGGCCCTGCTTCTGAGCTCCAGGGCTCCCGCCCCATGCCCCTCACTCAGCCAGGCCACCCGCCTCGGTGACCCCAACTGCTCTTCCCCTAGGGATTTAGCCAGCCCCCTGCACAGCGGGCTATCTACAAAATAAAAGTCTGCTTAAATCCCTTCAGTGTCTCCCCGGTGCCCTTCACATAAAGAGCCAAATCCTCGTCATGGCTCAGGAGGGCTTGCCTGTCCCACATCTGACCGCTCCCTCCTCTCTCCCGCCCTCCAGCATGGGGACACTGGTGGATTTTATCCTAAATGTAATGGGACAACTGGGAGTCAGCACCGAGAAGCGATGTTACCTGACTAAGGCTCTGGTTCCTTCCTGCGCCTGAACTGACTACTCTTCTGGTGCGGACATTTAGGAGAGAGGGATAGATACACTGAGTGGCCAGATGATAATGATCTCTGAACGCATAATGATCTGGCCACTCAGTGTATATCCTATATAATAAAAGGCTAATATACAAATTGTCCCCTCGACCAGGAGTTTGACCAGCAGGCAGGCCGGCCAACCGCCCATGTCTCCTCCCCCTGGCCAGGCTGGCTGGACCCCACCCATGCACGAATTCAGACACTGGGCCTCTAATATATACTGAGTGGCCAGATGATTATGTGCTCAGAGATCATAATAATCTGGCCACTCAGTGTATATATATATATATGTGTTAATCCTCAGCTGAGGATATTTTTTTCTTTGATTTTTTTTTAGAGAGAGTGGAAGGGAGGGAAGGAGAGAGAGGGGGGGGGGAGAGAGAGAGAAAGAGAGAGAGGCATCTATTGGTTGCTTTTGATCCCGGGGATCAAACCTGCAATCCAGCCAGGTAGGTGCCCTTGACCAGGAATCACACCTGTGACCCTTCAGTGAGCAGGCTGACACTCTAACCATCGAGCAGCACCGGCAGGCTGAGAGGAATATATTTTTAAATACATTTTTATTGATTTCAGAGAGGAAGGGAGAGGGAGAGAGAGAATCATTGACTGGCTGCCTCCTGCTCGCCCCACACTGGGGATTAAGCCTGCAGCCCGGGCCTGTGCTCTGACCGGGAATCGAACAGTGACCTCCTGGTTCGTAGGTTGACGCTCAACCACTGGGCCAGGCCAGCCGGGCGAGGGGAATGTTTTTAATGACTGAGGATGAACACCGCCGAAGCCCCTAGCATTCCAGAGAGCCCTGGGCCCGTGTGCCAGCTTTCCTCCCGCAGAGCCCGGCAGCCGCCTCCCAGTCCTCACCTGTAGAATGGGCACCTTCACACACTCAGGCACGACTGCCTCAGTGGGAACCTGAGCGCCTCCCGGGTTTGGTGGGAATGAGCCGCCGGGAGGCAATGCTCACAGCGCTGGGCTGTGCCTGTTGCTAAGCCACCTCAGAGCCCCCTGGGAGGCCTCAGCCCCTTAGGGGGGCCCAGGAGGCAGCCTGCCGGGAGCGTGGCCCCCCCTCCCACGGCCTCCGCAGCCCCATCCTCAGCTGCTGGGCCCTGGCCGCACCACATCTCCGCAGTGACTGGGCCTGGGGGTCTGAGTGCCATGGGTCACTCTTTGGAGAGCAATGGGGCATTTCACCAAAGCCAGCGGCGGGGGGACCAGGACCAGTGCCTGGCCAGAGCCCTGAGGGCACTAAGCACATAGGGGGCCGCCGAGCAGGCGCGGCCCTCCCCCCAATCAACAGATGGGAAATCCAGTCTCTAGGTCAGACACTGAGCCCTGCTCCTCGGGCTGCCAGGGCTGGCACTGAGGCACTCATCCTCACACCCTGCCACCGGCTGTGCCAGCCCTCTCTGCCCACACACAGGCTGCCCTGGCTCTCCCCCAGGGCTGAGGCCCCTAACAAGCCGCATTTACTCAGTCGCTACTGGTGCTGGTCGGTGTCTCCCACGGCTAGAAAGTCTCCTCCCCAGCCCAGGGTCCAGCCCGCCTGCCCCTGCTGCATGCCAGGGACCTGGCCCAGAGCCTGGCAGACCGGGCTGGAGAACAGCGCCCCCTCCTGGTCATGGCGGCACACCCCGTCCCGAGCCTCCGCGGAAGTGCAGGGACCAGTCCCAGCCAGGTTCTTCCATCACGGACACCTGACCCCGACGCCCCTCAGCATTCCTGGCCCCTGCCCCCGAGCGGGAGCCCACAAACCCCAAACCGGAAAGGCCTCCCAGCCCAGAAGGACTCCCTCCGCAGTGACCCTCCCATCAGCACCCACCTCACCCCACCCACCTCCCAGGCCGGGGCCCACGCCGGACCCTCTGCACAGCTCCCAGGTGCCCTCCTGAGCACCCTCCTGCTCCCAGGCCTCCCCCGCTCCCCGGTACCAGGACAGGCAAGACCCTGCCACACAGGAGCCACCCTCCTCCCAGACTCACCTCCCAGACACCCCCAAACCGGCTGCTCGCCCTGCCAGGGCTATGCCTGCCCCTGTGGCCCCTGGACTTCTGCATCCTCGTGGCCCCCAGCACAGAGCTGCCCTCCCCCTGCGCCCCCTCCCCCTGCGCCCCCTCCCCCTGCGCCCCTCCCCCTGCGCCCCCTCCCCCTGCGCCCCCTCCCCCTGCGCCCCCTCCCCCTGCGCCCCCTCACCCCAGGGCCAGCACAGGGCGGGCCTGCGGGACCCCAGCCCACAGGGATGGCGGCAGGAGGCCTGGCAGCCTCTCCGCCTTCGGCCACCACCAGTCCCGCCTGAAACTCCTCCGCACGCCCAGCAGGGCCGCAGGCGGGAGGGCCAGAGAGGCCTGTCCACACCCAGCGGGCGAGGGTGAGGGGTGAGGGGAGAGGGGGTAGGGGAATGGGGGGCAGGAGAGAGTGCGGAGAAGGAGAGAGGAGACAGAGTTGGGGGTCCCCCGTGTTCAAACCTCCTCCGCCCCCCTCCCTCCACCTGGGCTGCGGGAGGGGAGAGAGAGCAATGGCCTCAGGCGCCCTGCTCCCCTGGAGGGAGAGGGTGTCACCTCCCTTCACCTCCTCATCCCCCCATCCCCTCCCTCCTCTTCCCATCAGCAGTGGGAATGCGGGTGTGTGTGTGTGTGTGTGTGTGTGTGTGTGTGTGTGAAAGGGCGAGCCCACCTCCCCGTCATCTCCAGGGCGTCCTGGGGAGCTGAGCTGAGAAGCTGTTTCACCCCCAAACAGTCCCCACCCTGACCCGACATCAGGGTGTCCCCCGGGCCCCGCAGGCGGGCAGGGGTCCCCCGGGCCCGGCAGGCGGGCGGGCAGGGGTCCCCCGGGCCCCGCAGGCGGGCGGGCAGGGGTCCCCCGGGCCCCGCAGGCGGGCGGGCAGGGGTCCCCCGGGCCCCGCAGGCGGGCGGGCAGGGGTCCCCCTGACCCCCCTCCCCCCGGCCTCACCCGCGCAGCTCCGGGACCGCCAGATCTTGCCCAGCAGCAGCACCATGGCCAGGAGGTGGCTCAGGTCGCCCAGGATGCGGAACACGTTCATGGCGCCGCCGCCGGCCCGGCCGCAGCAACTCCGGGGAAGTTCGCGGCGGGCGCGGCTGCCACGTCCCCGCCGCCTGGGCCCGCGCCGCCCGGCCCGCCCCCCGCGCCCTCCTCCGGCCGCTTCCCGGCGCCGCCGCCGCCGTGACGTGGCCGCCCGGCCAGGAAGCGCCGCCGCCGCCCGCCCGGCCCAGCCCGGCCCCCAGCCCGGCCCCCAGCCCGGCCCCCAGCCCGGCCCCCAGCCCGGCCCCCAGCCCGGCCCCCACCCCCGGCCCCCAGCCCCGGCCCCCAGCCCCGGCCCAGCCCCGGCCCCTCCCCCCCACCCGGCCCGGCCCAGACCGGCTCCTGCCGCGGGGCGGCGGCTGGGGCTCCCCCCGGGCCCGAGGGCTCCACCCCCGGTGCCCCCGGAGGTGACCCCGAGGCCGGGCTCTGCCTCCCGGGACCCGGTCCTCCAGGAGGTGCCCGCGGGCCGGCCGGGCCCCTCGTCACCCCGGAGCCCGGAAGCGGGAGGTTGGAGGGGAGGCGCCCGCGGGCCGGCCAGGAGCCCCTGGATGGCGACTAAGGGAGTGCGAGGCCATCTCAGGGAAGGGGCTGCGGTGGGATCCCCGGGGCAGGGCCGGGCCCAGGCACCCGCCGTTCACCCTGTGGGCCGCCCTGGCCTCTGGTCTGCGCTGAGCTGGGGGGATGGGACGGGGTGCAGGGGTGCCACCAGGTGTCCCAGGACAGTTTCCATTCCATGTGGGTGACTCCTGTGACCGGCGAGTTCGTCCTGGCCTCGCCCTCCTGCGGTTCCCGGTTCCAGCCCCAACAGGACGTTTCACTCCGCGGCTGCCTGAGCCTAGCAGGTTGGAGGCGCCGGACATGGTGACCCCCTGCTGCTGCTGTGGGCATCCTGGCTTGAACACCTCCTCCTGGCGCCTGGCGGTGAGGAGCCTGACCCCGCCCCCATGTTTGCTTGAATAGCCACCTGGACCTGACACTTGGGGTGAGGGGGGGAGAATGGGAGGGAACAGTGGTATCGAACGGCTTAGGTTTGGAGTCAGGTTGCTCACTAATGTTTCCTTCTTGGTATGACGAGCTGTAACCCAGGAGCTCAGGCCAGAAGAGACTCCGGCGGCTGGGGCTGTTGGCCAGAGCGCTGGGAGGTAGGAGGGGGGGGGGGCGGGAGGACCACAGGTGGGCAGGAGTCCTCCCCATGCTGTGTGGCATGAGAGGTCAGCCAGCCCCTCTGGACCTTGGTCTCTGCCTCTGCAGGAGTGGACCAGCTGAGCCAAGGGGCCTTACCCTCTACCCATGACCCTTCAGGCCCCCTCATCATGACTTCTGGTACAAGGCCGTCCTTGGAGTCTCAAACTGCGGTCCAAGGACCAGCTGCATCTGCGCCACCTGCTGGGAATGCAGAATCTCAGACCCCATCCCCGACCTTCTGCCTCGAGTCCTTGGTTAAACAAGATCCCTGGGTGGTGGGTGTGCACTTACAGCGTGAGAGGCACTGACCTAAACACTACACGGGAGGTACTGTCATCGTCCCCGTTTTTGTTTTTGTTTTAAGTATATTTTATTGATTTTTTTTTTACAGAGAGGACGAGAGAGAGATAGAGAGCTAGAAATGTCGATGAGAGAGAAACATTGATCAGCTGCCTCCTGCACACCCCCCACCGGGGATGTGCCCGCAACCAAGGTACATGCCCCTGACCGGAATCGAACCCGGATCCTTTCAGTCCGCAGACGGACGCTCTACCACTGAGCCAAACCGGGGATGATGGTTTCGGCCATCATCCCCGTTTTGCACGGGGGAAACTGAGGCACTGAGAGGTTAAGTAGTTTGCTTAAGGTCACACAGACACGGAATAGTGGAGCCTGGATTCCAGCGCGTAGTTTGACTTCAGGGTTCATGTCATCAACTCGTTACATTACACTGTGGGGTTTCTCGGGAGGTGAGGGGTTCCCGGTCATGAGAGGTGGGGGCAGGGGGTGAGTCCCATTTGCCAGGGATGCTGCAGAGGGGACTCCCGCCCTGGCCCAGAGGGTGGGATAACAAGAGCAATCAAGTGGTAAATCAGGTTGTCTCCATTCAGCCTCAGCTGGCACCGGTGACGGCTTTAAGTCCTTAGTGACGGCCACTGAGGCCTCAGGAGGCCAGGGGGGTGGTCCAGGCCCCCCTGGGGGAGGAGCCAGGCACTCATCCTGAATGAACTGCTCTGTCCCCTTCCCCTCCCCAGGCCCTGCCCGCCCAGCTGCCTCCAGCTGGTGCCTGGAGAAGGCGGTGGCTATTTAAATACCTCAGGTGTGGCTACGGTTCTCTCTGCCCAACCAGCTGGCATCTCCCTCTCAGCGCCCACCTCCTCCCAAACCAGGAAAAAGCACGTGCATTTGCCATTTGGTGAAACATCTGTCCTCCTGAGCAGCAACTCCCACTGCCGGCAGGAGCGGGAGCAGGGCTGGAATCCTCCCTCCTCTTCCCCGTTCCTCGGGGGAGCCACAGGGACGGGCCAAGGCCAGGGGAGGTCTGAGGAGCGGCCACCACAATGGCGGAGGGGGAAGAACCAGGGCCAAGATCGTCCGGCCACAGTGGCCTTGGCCTGCCGTGGCCTTCTCTGGCCTCAGCTTCCCCATCTGTTAACAGGGATGATGAAGACAGAGGTATTGCTGACTGGTCACTTGGTCCTCTTTGTATCTGGTCTTCCCTATAGAATCCATACTCCCTATGTCTCAAGACAGGGGGCTCAGCCCCCCCAGTTTTCAGATGAGGGAACTGAGGCTCAGACTTCTCTCTAGCTTCCCCACGTCACATAGGTCTCCTCTTCGCAAATGTCTACCACTCTGTCCTTAGTAAGCAGCCCGCCTTTTTCATAACCAGCCCCCTTCCCGGGGGAGCATTTTTCTTTTTCTTTTTAACAAAGAATATTTTAATTATTTTTTTTACAGAGAGGAAGGGAGAGGTATAGAGAGTTAGAAACATCAATGAGAGAAACATCGAACAGCTGCCTCCTGCACACCTCACACTGGGGATGTGCCCGCAACCAAGGTGCATGCCCTTGACCGGAATCTGGGACCCTTCAGTCCACAGGCTGATGCTCTATCCACTGAGCCAAACCGGTTCAAACACACCCCCCCCTTCTCCTCACCAGGCCACCTGCACCTCACACACTATTTTCCCTTCGCCAGGTGGTTCCAGGCAAGTCCCTCACCCTCCGCGCCTCGCTTTCCTGACACTGAAAGCCTGTCTGCTGTGAGCACTCGACTGAGGGGGTGCCAGGAGGGACATTCCCTTCAGCTCAAAGGCAAGGATTCTTTTTTAAATCCATTAATTAAGCAAAGCATAATGTTCAAAGTCAGATTACACATACTTCTTTTGGTTGTTTAAAAATTTTTTTTAAATCTTGCATTTTTTAAAACATTCACACACACACACACACACACACACACACACACACACACAGAGAGAAGTACGTGTAATTTTTTTCCTTCCTGGTCCTAGCTCTTTGCATATTTCCCCGCTGTATTCAGCATCCTGTCTAGTGCTTCCCATTGTGTGGAGGGTAAGCGTGGAGGGACGGTAAAAGTCACCATCCTGAGGACATGCCGCCGTGTAATCCGTGCCTTTCGCAGGGCAGGGCCCAGCCCCGTGTCCGCGGAGCTCAGCACCTGTGGAGCCGGCCCCAGTGCACAGAGCGGAGACCAGGCTCCCAAACCCTCTCCGCTCTCAGTTCCGAGCACATTTCATCGAAGGCCCGCTGCGTGCCAGGCGCCTTGCAGGCTGAGCTCAGGGCACCTCAGGGCCGGGGGACGCTGTGGGAGGTGGTGCTTGTGCGCATGTTGGACGAGGCACAGAGGAGACAGAGTCTTACCCTGGGTTTCCGGGAGTCTCCTGGGAAGATTTCAGTTAGGAAGACTTCAGAGGACGCCCCGGTGGGTTTTGAAGGATAAATAGGAGTTTGCTTGCCTCATGGACAAAACCTGGGGGAAGAGAGTCGAGTCCCAAGTAGAAGGAGCTACACACACAACTGCGCAGAGATATGATGCGAACCGCTCTCCCAGCACATTTTAAAATCTTCACCTGAGGATATGTGTCCATTGATTTTGTGGAAAAATGTTTTATTGATTTTTAGAGAGAGAGAGAGAGGGGAAGTGAGATGGAGAGAGAGAGAGAGAAACATCTATCAGTTGCCTCCCGCAGGGGCCTCACAGGGGATCGAACCGGTAACCTAGGTATGCGTCCTGAGCAAGAATCAAACTCGCATCCTTTTGGTGCATGAGAAGAAGCTCCAACCAACGGAGCCACCCGGCCAGGCGCCCGGTGCATTTTATTTGTATCACTCTTCAAAAGAGGCCAACAACCGCCCTAGCTGGTTTGACTCAGTGGGTAGAGCCTGGGCCTGCCGACTCTAGGGTCCTGGGTTTGATTCCTCTTAAGGGCATATCCCCGGTTTGGGTTGTAGGGATCTCATCATAGATGTTTATCTCTCTCTCCCTCTTTTTTTAAAAAGAAATATATTTTTATTGATTTTCAGAGAGATAGAGAGAGGAAGAGATAGAAACATCCATGATGAGAGAGAATCATTGATTGGCTGCCTCCTGCACACACCCCACTGTGGATCGAGCCCGCAACCCAGGCCTGTGCCCTTGACTGGAATCGAACCGGGGACTCCACAGTCCGCAGGCCTATGCTCCATCCAATGTGCCAAACCAGTTAGGGCTCTCCCTTCCTCTTTGGAACCAACAAAAATATTTTTTAAAAAATACTAAAAGATCGCTGAAACCAGTTTGGCTCAGTGGTAGAGCGTCGGTCTGCGGACTGAAAGGTCCCAGGTTCGATTCCGGTCAGGGGCATGTACGTTGGTTGCAGGCACATCCCCAGTAGGGGGTGTGCAAGAGGCAGCTAGTCGATGATTCTCTCTCATCGACGTTCCTAGCTCTCTATCTCTCTCCCTTCCTCTCTGTAAAAAAATCAATAAAATATATATTTTAAAAAAATACTAAAAGATTAAATAAAAAAAATAAAAGAGGCCAACGACCAGGGAAGGGTAGGGGGGAAACAAAGGTCTAGGCGAGGAAGACCTTCCTGGGCGCCTCAAGCTCCACCATTTACACAATTGATCCAGTCTCTCTGA